TGTTACCTTGAACATACATGTGATTCATTCTTACACTACAATACAATGTTTTTTTTGTGAGGGTGCGATAACAATGTTTTGGTACTACATTTTCCGGTCTTCTATCATCACAAAATTGTGTTCTGAAATAGAAGCATTCATAGCATAGAAATAAAGCTTGACAATGCTTCGAGAAAAATGCGACTATGAATCGTGAAGCATGGGTTCTAGTGTTGGAAACATGTTTATTCTATAATAATGGGAACAACTATGGAATGAAAGAAAACATCACTTGTATGAGGAAACATACATGATTACTGGACCTGGGGATATAGAATATCGGGAGCATGTGTGGAAGCAACATGGATAGAGAAAGTTTATTTTGGAAACCACCAGGGAATATGCTGGAGAGAATGCTTCTGATGCTCTAGCGAGTTATGATCTAGCATGCATACCCTGGTCCCATGGGAAGCTATGGATTGGTAGGTCGCGCTAGTTTAGGGGTGTGGACCGTCCAAATGTGTGGCATGTATTTATGTGTTATCATCGTAAGTACATACTTCCTCTATTCGACGCCCCCACCCCCTCCCCCCACCACCCTCTGACCAACACACGCAGCAACGAAACACCACATTCGCAGGGCTACTAGACCAATATTTTTTGTTGTTCTAACAAGGAGCTTTATAATATTACTTAGAGGGATTACGGGATAACTGCATATAATCATGAAGGAAGGTAGAGCCGTAGTTAGTCCACATGCACCTCCGCCTAAGCTCACTAGCCTATTTAGCACATCCATGATACACCTCATTTGCTTCACGAACCACATGCACCAACACACCTCCGCCTAAGCCTCTAATAAGCTCCCTTGTATCTTGAGAGATAGCAACAATCTTCGCACGATCAAAGCAGTATGTGTTACACAGTTTGACCACCTCCTGGGCATCACTCTCTATGACGATTCTTTGAAATCCAAGCTTGCTTGCCAACCGCATTTCATCACGAGTTGTGCAAGCTTCCATGGACGAAGAGCTACCTGCTCTTGCGTTCCAAAGTGCATGTGCCCGGAGCAGGGAACCTGAACGGTTCTTGATCATCAAGCATGTACACATCAGACCGAGGGAGGAAAGGACAATGATTGTAAATTGTAATGTAAGAAAGAGAACATGACCGATGAGAAAAAGAGGACAGCCATTGGACCTGGCATGTCTACCAACAAGCATATGGCCATAAATATTCCTTCTCGTCCCACGATCAGCAGCAGTAGCAGCATCTGCATCAGCTGACAAACGCCATCCTGAAACGAAGAACTTTCTCCCCCTTACGCAAACCTGACCAATATAACAGTAACGAACAGCCGAACGCACCGTGCAAACAATATCTATCAGAGGTGTGCGTCAAAGGTGACTTTGTTTCCCAGTCCAAATGCTCCAGCAAATGTAGCAGCAATACCCATCATAAAGAACCTGTCTCGTCACAGCAAAAAATAACACAACCAGGTAAAATTTGCCAGAGTAGGAAGACAGCAAAGAGCTGCCATCACAGCTAGATAAGTATCAGATTTGTTGAGCTTCCTATCACTTGTTGACAAAAAGTTGTGTGTCTAACCCAACAGGATAGTCACAAGATAGATATCTCTTGCAAAGATGTGGAGTATCAGAATTGTTCAGATCCTGATCGGTCGACGATGAAGGCATGAAGCTTACCTGTTTTATTTCAGCCGATTGCCTCAGAATGTGGCTTTCGAAAGGCATCCGACAAAACTACAAATTTGAATTCTCAAACCTAGAATGAGCAATAATAAGAACCTAAAGCAGCAATTGATCATTGGATACACGAACATGTTGAGCAGAGGATAATGTGCTGCAACTGCTGAGACTTTTGACAGCAATAAGTTACTCGACAATTTTTCCAACACACATACACACACACACAAAAAAAAGCCTCTTGGATGTAAAAGTTCACAAAAAATCACGTCGATTACAACATTTCTTGCTAGGACACGCTTAACATAAGCATATGTAGCGAAGTACATGGACTAATCCACCTTGCTTGCAGCATCTCTTGTTTTACATTTGCCTCATACCGCACATATAGCGAGGTACAGGATGGCTGATTCCTCGTAAGAAAAACGAATGCCCAAGTAAGGTCGGCAGCACCATCTTGACCATCCTCCATTTCTCTGCAAAGGCTCCAGATGCATGGCACAAAAGAGACACTGAAAGCAAAGCGAGTTCATCCTGCAGATACACTTAATAGTTAGAACAAGAATTATGTGGATGCAACAAAAATCTTTGCTTCCGCAGTTTAATAACAAGGCGCTGCATACAAAATCGACAAGTACACCACAGATTGACCACTTAAGACTAAAGACACGTAAACTGCTCATTCATGCTTCAAAGGAGCCCCTCTTATGCTAGGTAGGATATTTGATTATCTGAGCCTCTTATGAACATACCCACATTACTTATCCCGCATAACCTAGATTCTAATTGATTATATATCCATACTGGGATTTTTGGGTTGATGATCCATCCTTTTGCGGTCACTTCCATTTATTTTCCCTTCCCTGATTATTTTTGTTCTTGCATTCTGCTCCTGTCAACTGTCAAGTCACAGCTGTCCATGCCAAGCTGTGTTCTTTCTGAACAAGAACCTCATAAAAAAGAAGGGAATAATTGAACCATGCGCAAGCAGTGATCCGCAACTAATGATAATGCCCGTCTACCTGGGCATAACTGTGGCATTAGTATTGGAATTTGAAGCGTCAGCAGGGGTACAAGCATCGACACTGAACCACATACACAGAGTGCGGTGGTCATTGTTGTGGCACTGCATTTGTTGTAGGGCTGGGCATTGTTGCACCTAGGGGTGTTGCAAGCTCGTCGATAGCTCTCCACAGGTCTCGTCAAGAGCTTGCAGCCTAGAAAACTACTCGGTGGGGCTCGTACAGCCATGCCACCACTGATGCTAGTATCAATATGGTTGAATCCAAACACCAACATCAACATGGGAGCAAAGGTAAAAAGAGAAGGAAAAAAAGGCTGACTTGTGAAGTTGCAACAAATCAATATCTTTGCATGTTATATATTTACCAATTGGGATTCCTTCCAAGCCACCGCGTTGACTCTAAAAAAACAGAAATAACCCATTGGGTTTATCTGTATGGTCCAGATCATAATGCATCCACACCATAACTCCATGTTCGGATGCCGTACAGATCATGGCGACCAAATCAAATCAATCGGCATAATAGTTCAAGTCACCTACATCTCAGTAGCATTGTAGCAAACCTGCCAAATGAGTTCAAGCTGATCGGAAATTACTAGTTGGGGTGGGTTTCTCCCATACTAATGAAGTAATGAGGTCCACGTAAATGTTTAAGATTGCCTAATTAATGAGATTTTTTTTCATTTTTAGTGGAAACCATCCAATGCCACAATGCATTCATGATAAAGATAGATGCATGTGCTTTGAGTATTTTCTCCCGTTGGATTGACTGGAGCTGCTCAAATTGACCAACAGCAAATTGTACTGCTTTACTAATAAATCAGAAATAGCACAACTAATTGGATGCAAACAGATAATTCAGCTTTCGTGCTTGTGCAGTAGAGGGAAAAGTTTGAAAATAACTCAAGAAGCAAACGCTCTTCAAATTGATGTACGTTCATGTGCGTACCCAATAAAGCAAATTCATATCATGTATCAAACAATAATATTATTTGAGTAATCCCCCGGATTTTGGAAACTTAGTAAGGTTATACCTTATACGCTTTGAATATAAAATACTTATATTGCTACTTGAGAATAATGTATGTGTATTTGTTGTAAACAGTATTTTGATAATATCAAATTTGATAGGGTACGTAAATATTTCTAAACACCTATTAGTGTTACCAACTGTGTTTGAAGACTGTTTTGACATTTAAATGATAGTTTTTAAAAAATCATAGGGGGTCTAAAGGTTGAAGGCTCACCCTATTCCTAAGGGAAATAGATAAAGATGACACGTAGCTTCAAGAAATCCCATGGTGTGAATCTTATTACGTCCGTGTCGTCTTAGATATCATGTGGATGACTATTCAGTGCTACAAAGAGAACCATGTCAGCGGAGTCTAACTATAATCTGTCCAGTCACCCGGAGCATGTGCCAAATCATATTCAAAAAAGAAAAGAAAAATAAAAGACATGTGGGTAACTTTTTGTTCCAAATGGGTAGGGTGTTCCTGCAATTTATGAAAAGAGAATAGAGCTGTCCCGTTACTAGGAAAAACTGGGCTGAAAACCTTAACATGGAAGGCTTGCAATTAAGTTTATTAAGGAAATATGAAGCAGTATATAGCTCAATTTTAATTAAGCTAACAAATATCAGAATATTTATACTTTCACAAACCAATACCAAACAGCAGCTTGATAAAGCTGTATAAAGTTACTGAAAATATAGTTCCAGGCTTCACCACAACACGAAACATACATGCAGTTTTAAAATCTTGCAAGAGTGTACTCCTATTCCTTTCCTATATTTCTATTTCATACTTCTTTTACAGGTAACCGGTATCATACTTGCACGGGTTTATGCCTAGTAACTAGAAAACGAAAATAGTACGCACAAAAATTTAAACAGGAGTAAATCAATGGTCAAATGTTATCTAAAGAGAGGCAAATAATAGAGGTAGTGCGTCTATAAGAGGGACAAATGATCATTTAGTCAATTCCAGTTAACAAAATGTAGCAGAAACTAATGCACAAAGGATAAATTAACGCCTTTCCTTAGATGTAAATGGCCCTCAGACATTAACTGAAGCAAATGTTATGCAAACTTAGTGGGATATGTATGCTCTTCTTGGTATAAAATGAAGTTGTTTTCTTTATTACCATGTTGCAAAGCAATTATTGACCAGGAAACAGCATGCCCACCTTCCCTACTTTGATGAGGTCTTGTAACAGCGTAAAGCAATCACATCTACACGAACAATTAGGACATTGAGCACAACGATAATGATAAAAAATAACTTACCACATCATATACTTGGTTTTGACAACGGCGGGGGGTAGCCAAAGTACCAGTGAACATGTTCAGATTGGAAGAATTGCCCCCTGCTCCTACAAACCTTCCTCAGTTCAGAAGTCTTGACCTCGAGGGAAAAATAATCTATATCCCAATCAGTCCTGGACAATGGTACCCCGGAAGCTATATCAAAATCCACTTGATCTTGAGTAGTGGCTCCAAGGAATAAGAGTCCCTCAGCTGCACTCACAGTGAAATAATCATATCCGCGAGGCAACGGTATAATATTCTCTAGCTGCCAATCACTGGAAGATTCACCATTGTTTTGCTGAGTCATATGATAGAGATCAAATGAGCCATTTGGGCTGTGATCACCGACGAGAGAAAACTTCTCGAGATATCCTTCTCTACCTACTACAATGCCAGGCAAACTTCTGTTCTGGCCAGGTAGAATTCTAGGGGGTTTATCGTAACTGGCGAGAAATTTGAGTATCCGGCCAGGCAGATGTGTGAGCAGTATATCATAGCCGGTGTGATAGTTCACAGTGAAAAACTCCATTCTTTGTGTGTCCAGCACGAACAACTTGTCTAACCAAGGTGACGCCAAGTAGAAGCATCCGCGCACGTTGTCGAAACCGGACAAGCCACGGAACCCATAAGTGGGAGACATGCGCAGTCCAAGGGGACGATAGTCCACGCCTGACAAACTCCGAGCGATAGATGCAGCTATACACCATTGCTGTGTGACAGACGAGAAGACAAACGCGGTTATCTTGGAACCATAGGTGGCTAAGCATATCACCTTGAACGACATCTCATCTTCATCATCGCCAATGGGAGCAAGGATGGGCACGATATCAAGTGGGTGCTCTTCCTGGACAGCGAGGTCCGTCGGTATGGGCGGGAGCAGCACGTAGCTCCGTGACAAGGGATCACACACCGCCATGTCTTTGAGGGTCTCCAAAAATCGGCAGTCCTCGAGGAGGACGCGGCCGTCGCGGACGTCGCGGACTTGCCAGGGGATGCCCTTGCTGCGCACGGGGACGAAGGAGTAGGTGAAATCAGCGGCGTCGGCGACGGCGCGGGCGAGCGGGGCGGAGGCCTGGGGCGCCTCGGCTGGCTGGAAGCCGCCATCCTGGTGTACGAGCCCTAGGAGAGGAGGTGGGTAGAGTTTGCGGTGGCGGCGGAGGAAGGAGCGGTCGGTGATTATGCGGCGGAAACGGGGGCTGGCGGTTGAGGCGCGGGCGAGGTCGGCCGGGGTGGGCAGGCGGAGGAAGATCTCCTCGAGGATCTCGTCGACGAGGTGCGGCGCCGGCGTGGGCATGGCGGCGGGGTGGGACAGTGGGAGGAAGGGGATGATGGGGGCGGCTAGGGTTTCGGGCGGAGTTCAGAGCAGCTAGGTTGTCAGGGAGTGAGGCCTAGGTCGCTAATTGCGCACGGAATTTAGCGTGAGGCCGCCAAATACTGACGGAATTTACCGCGAGGTTGCTAATTGCGCTTAGTACAATTCTAATCCCCCCTTCCACCGCCGCCGGCGGCCGCCACTGCCCCCCGCAGCCGAGCTCGAGTAAGCCCACGGTGGTCGCTGCATCTAACATATGGTGCTTTGGGATGAACGATCCAACCATTGTTCTTCCCGTACACCTCACCTTGGAGACGAAGGAGTGGATGTTTTTTACCCACGGAAAGATTTGTGCCTGGGTTATGGGTTAGTACAAAAACGTGTAATTTTGTCTAAGTTCTCTTTAGTTTTCCTTATTAAAAGCAGCTTCGAAGGAGAATTATTTGTATCCGATGTCTGATCTCACCCTATGATCAACCATCTTCATTACTATTGAATATCGATAATTGACCCAATGTCTGGGTAGATTTTCTAACGAGGGTAACCGCCACAAGCCGCCCGCCGGAAGCTTCACGCTCTTCACCGTAGTCGCAGGAAATTCACACTCTTCACCGTAGTCGCAGGAAATAGTGGTGAGGATGTCGACCGGGAACAGGGGCATGAAGCGCGATGTTGACGAGCGCATTGACCACGAGAAGTGACCGGCTTAAATCATAATATTGACGAAGATGACGATGTGAAGTGTGACGAGGAGGCTTTTCATTGATATGATCTCATCGGCACGCAGGCCTCTTCTGTGATGTTGAGGCATCCATATTCCTTCTTACAGTCACTTCGTTCCTACTACTCATAGTCGACTCGGCACCACCCTTGGTTCTCACGGTCATCGCCTCGATCTCGGGTGACGCTGACGCTCCTCCTGGAAGAACGTTCATTTAAAAGATGCCCTTGTTTGAGCTGGCATCATCTTTGATGCCATCGATGCGACTTGTTATGTGCATGAGATCGCGTGGGAACGTCGTAAATGCAATTGTTGCAGTGGTCTATATATACATTTCCTAGCCTTTTATGTATGTGCTTCATTGGGTTTAGTACCATATACATGCTTCTGATATCATACTAGAGGAGCGACCCATCAAGGCTAGCGGTGGTTAGCAGCGACAAAGCAAGCCTAAGTGTGATTCAGAGTTAATCAGACGGTCAAAAATGTCCAGAATCAATGATCAAACGGCTGCGAATGCTGATGGCCTAAGAAGGCAGGAAAGGTGCTCAGTTATAATGTGTCTAAATGTGACATGTTTTCCAGTATTCATATGTTTGCTTCATGTTTTACACACAAAATGACAATGATTCAGTGCTACTTTGTTCCTGCTTAGACAACCATCAAAATGTGTTTCCACTGGCTCACTATCACGTAAATGCACTAGTACTGCATGTGACGCACATAAAACATGCCATGTTTCCTTGAACATACACGTGCTTCATTCTTACACTTACACTATGATACCATGTTTCTTTCGGGGGTATGATAAAAATGTTTTGGTACTATATTTTTCGGTCTTCTATCATCACATAGTTTGTGTTCCGAAATAGAAGTATTCATGGCATAGAAATTAACTATGACAATGCTTGGAGAAAAACGCTACTATGAATCATGAAGCATGGGTCGTAGTGTTGGAAACATGTTTATTCTATAATGGGAACAACTATGGAATGAAAGAAAACATCGCTTGTGTAAGGAAGCATACATGATTACTAGGACCTGGGGAGCATATCGGGAGCACGCATGGAAGCAACATGATTAGAGAAAATTCATTCTGGAAACCGCAGAGAATATGCTCGATAGAATGCTTCTGATGCTCTAGCAAGTTATGATCTAGCATGCATTCCCTAGACCAATGGGAAGCGGATTGGTAGGTCGCGCTTGTTTTGGCCGTGGACTGTCCAAATGTGTTCCATGTATTTATGTGTTCTCATCACAAATGCATACTTCCTCTATTTGATGCCCCCACCCACCCACCCACACGGCCACACCAACGAAACACCACATTCTTAGGGCTACTTGACCAAACATTCTCAAGGCTATGTCATTGCCCCCACCCAACATCTTCGTTGTCTGAATCTGACTACTCAACAAACTCTTTGTACGAGAATTCATCAAGGTCCTTTTCTCCATGATCATCATCCGGTGAATTCATTGTTTTGCCTATAAATGATCAAAGGAAAAAAAGAACTGCTCAGACATTTCATTGTACACATAGAGGGCGAGGTGTATGCCCAGAGGAGTTGGACATACTGGGGATAGCGTGCGGTGGCGGCACAGACATCGACGTTGTGGGATGAGGCCTCTGGTGACGGTGTTGTGGGTTGAGGACGACGACAGAGCTAGGGCGGCGACAGTGTGAACGAAGCAAAAGATAGGAGAAGAAGGGGGCAAGTTGGGCTAGGTTGGGGGCGATTTGGGATGCCCCCTATCAGTCCAACATGATGGATGCGTTCGGGCCTCCCCATATCCACCCCATGTATGAGATGGGTTTGAGGGTTGCCATACAACTCGGACTTTTGAGCCGGGTATACGGTGTCCAATTGGATGGTAATTTCGTGACCGGACTGTCCACCTAGACATACAAAGGGGCATTGAGGGGGCCGGTTGCAAATGATCATAGCGCATAAGAAAAACATGGCTTCGTCGGCAATCTACATCCTTACTTGGCTAGCATGGATTGACTAAAGAGATTTTTTTAAAAGTTTGGCTCGTGGTGCTTTATTACGATGTCAACAAAGTTTTTTTTTGAACAAAAAGCAATTAGTGTTGCATTTCATTTTGTAAAGAAGGTGTTATACAACTCAAGATGAGCAAACAACTAGTTCAACTTCTTCAAGGAGAAAATGAAATAGCTACGACAATGACAACACACTCACAACAAGACGACAAATACTAACTCGGCTTCGAAGATCATGCAGGTTCAAGCAACTGGTGGAGTAGGTCTTCGTCTTCCATCGTTGTCTAACCAAGCAAGGCACGACCTTTAGCATTGGCCGTCTTGTTGCCACTTGACAACACCCGTCAAAAGAAAAGGAGAGGTGTCGCATGTGAATGAGGTGAACACCTCAACCAAACCTCCATTGCATCAAAACCAAACTAAATCTCGTCGACCAAGCAACACGAACGACAACCCTCACCTATTGCTAGTCTCTCTGGTCGATAAGAAGCTCCTGGAACTATGCCTCAAGAGGTGCGACACACAATGCAATCACCGTCTGATCCCAAGGGATCAAGGGTTTCCCCTAGAGCTTCCTCACACAGTGGAGCGAGCAGAAATGCCTCAACGACGCTTTCTAGAAGGAAGTGGTGCCCACAAGTGTCATCATCGCCTACCCTGACCCAATGACCTACAACAAGGTCTTCATTCTACGTTGCACGTCCAACAACCTACCTTGGCCAAACCACCACTTCAATCACACGCCCAGCGGCCCCACGCACCCGACGTCCACCCCAGCCACCTTCAGATCTGGATGCTAGGGCCTAGATCTCCATCGTTCCCACCAGTTTCAAACTGGGTCACAACCACCGGAGAACAAGATGTTGGGGCCCCATTCTGCCACACGCCGTCCCTTAGTGCCCATCGAGCCCACGGTCGTGGCTAATTTTCGTGTTTTGACCTTTTTGGCTAAAGTTTAGCCAGATCTGACCCTCATTCAAAAGTATTTCAGAATTTGACCCTTTTGCTACTGCCAAAGACCCTGGAGGTAGGCAACTTGTCCACATTAGCGTAGTGCTGGCCTACCGCCAAACAGGTTGGCAGTAGCCTGTGTACCCCTACCATCAAACAACCCGGCGGTAAGTGAGTACACACGTTGTATCTGATACTTAAAGAATTTTTGCGGTAGGACATGCATTCCTACCGCCAAGGGCCTTGGCGGTAGGCTATCATACCCTACCGCCATCAACCCTGGCGGTAGAAAAAGGGTCAGATCCTGAAATACTTTCGGATGAGGATCAGATCGGGCTAAACTTTAGCAAAAGGATCAAAACACCAAAATCGGCCCACGACCGCTGGTGCACAGAGTCGCCTACAGCCCGCACACCGCCGAAAAGAAGTCTCACTCCCGCCTGACCCTTCTCCTCTGTCACGACACTGAGCGCGAGCCCTCTCAATGATGGCCCTCCTCAGATCCAGATCAAGCTCGCCCTGGCGTGGTGCTGCCGACATCGTGAAGACCGCCCCGCGCGACCACCACATGCTCCGGCCCATAAATCGATGCGTCGTCCCAGCCCCACCTTGCCGCCCACGCTGCTCACCAACACAACACCGAAGCAGAGGAGCTCCCCATCGCTTCCTGTGGGCCAAGACTTGCACCAGGATCGAGTGGCCTGCTGTCGCCGTCCTCGGAAGGACTGATACGTCTCCAACGTATTTATAATTTTTGATTGTTCCATGCAATTATATTATCTGTTTTGGATGTTTATGGGCTTTATTATGCACTTTTATATTATTTTTGGGACTAACCTATTAACCGACGGCCTAGTGCAAATTGCTGTTTTTTTTGCCTATTTCAGTGTTTCGCGGAAAAGGAATGTCAAACGGAATCCAAACGGAATGAAAACTTCGTGAGGATCTTTTTTTGGAACAAATGCAATCCAGGAGACTTGGAGTGGACGTCAAGGAAGCAGCGAGGCAGCCACTGTTGGGTAACGTAGAAATTTCAAAAAAATACTACGCACACGCAAGATCATGGTGATGCATAGCAACGAGAGGGGAGAGTGTCGTCTACGTACCCTCGTAGAACGTAAGCGGAAGCGTTATGACAATGCGGTTGATGTAGTCGTACGTCTTCACGATCGACCGATCCTTAGTACCGAATGTACGTCACCTCCGCGTTCAGCACACATTCAGCTCGGTGACGTCCCGCGAACTCATGATCCAGTAGAGCTTTCGGGAAGAGCTTCATCAACACGACGGCGTGGTGACGGTGTTGAT